CCCCCCCCCGAGTAATGTCAAAACATCTTGAAGATGTTTTGGAGAACGGAGAGTGTAAGGAATAGAGAGTTTAAATCATCCAAGCTTTGCACCCGGGACTCGTTAGTCTGAGAGAGAGAATGCTGTGTGTGTCCGTATGTCCAAGGGATCACTGTGAACCACAGAATTAGGAGCCTGCTCTTCTGGTGTTAGTGCATGTGTGTCTTTTTCCACATCTCAATTAACTGCATAGGGTGATGGAATTAAAGTGCTAAGTATGACTGCTTGTTTGTTTCAAGTTAACAAAAAAAAGTTAGCTCTATCTCTTCTGTACTGAAACACATTCTGAACTGTACACAGAAAATGATGAAAATTCCGATGAAGAGGAGGAGCTGGATAAGCAGATGGGAAATCTTGATAATGCTGAAGCTGATGATAAATTGGATGAGAGGCTCTGGGGGGATGAAGATGAAGATAATGATGAAGATGCCAGCAGTAAAACAGAAGAAACTGGACCAGGAATGGATGAGGTAAAGAGAAAAGGGGTGGGAAGATGACTACCAAAGGAATTAAACTCTGTTAACTTGACGTGACCTAGACCGTGAACTCCCTTGCATAGCTCTTGGTCTTGGAAAGGGATAATCGGAGTATATCACAAGTTATTTAGTGTTGTCTTTTTTTCTGTAAGAGATGATGTCACTCAGACTTTTGAGAAGCAGGTAGCGTAACTGAGTTTCTTTTGAATTTGTTGGTTAATAGGAGGATTCGGAGCTTGTTGCAAAAGATGACAATTTGGGCACAGGAAACAAGGATAATAAAAAACAGCCTCCCAAGGATGAGGAAGACGAGCAACAAGAAGAGGACAGTGGAAACAAAGAGAAAATCCATGAACAAATTGATGAGGTAAAAATCATTTGGACTACATAGAGTATCCTGCTGTTAAACCATATCCTGTTGCTCACATCATGTGTTTCTGAGAATTTGAAATGCTCTTTATTTAATAGTGAAGTGCGCTGAAAAAAGTTAGTTCATTTCAGAGCTAAAAATAAACCATATTGTATCCATTATAATATATGTATATTTTCTGATCCATAATCCAGAATGAATTTTTGTTTGCACTAACCTGAACTTGTAATGGCTGCCAAAACAGGCTTTACACTGAAATGATGTTTTGATGGACAAAGCTTAAAAGTTCTTGTTCTGTTGTGTCCAGCAACAGAAACGTCTTAAGTCAGTGGGACTCATCCCAAGAATCTGTTATATGCAGTATGCGTGAAGATTCTGCATAGTATGCAAGAGTGCATTTACCATCTGCAAGAGTGCGGATTCTCTTCAGAATCTTTCAGCTAGGAAAACTGGATTCTGAACACAAAACATGCTGATTTGAAGAAGTTACAATTTATGTAAATGCATTTGCCGAAATTAATCTTTTTCTGCTATTTATACATAAGGATGCGTGCCATTGGAAATTCGTTTTTAACTGAGCAGAACGTAATATTGTATCCAGTATTTCTGTGTCCTAGAGAACTCAATAGTATCTTATTTCTCATCTTTGCCTTTCCTCCCACTTATTTACGTACCTGTTATTCCCCCCCCCCCCCCCC